TTTTTTGGTACCGGGGATCAAACTCAGGTCCTTGCGCTTGCGCAGCAGACGGGGAAACCACTGAGCTAAATCCCCGGCCCTAGAAAAGCTCTAGAATGCTGTAAACTGAGCTTTATGGGAGAGCTGTCAGAGCTCAGAAGTCCAGGTAACTGACAGAAATGCAGATGGGAAAGGCCAAGCTTGAGTTTTCAGTTGAGAACAAGGACTCCATTGGCAGCTGGGCTAAAGACCACGTGTGTGATGCTCTGCCAGAAAGTCTGTCTACATTTTGCCCAGGTACTAAGACTTTGCAAGAGACTGAGATTAGGGGCAGTGGACTAATTAATCTGGTGGAGGAAATTTTAAAGCATCCCAGCATTCAAGCCGTAGCACACATACTGTTGGCAGCTTTTAATCAGATCTACATTGAAAATCAGGAGCAAAATCCAGAGCTAAATGATATAAAGCTTAGCCAGAAAGTTAGAGCCTGCAAAGCTGGTGCCTTTGGGAGTGATGTTGTTGAAAAGATTAACATTAAAAAGAAGCCAAATGGGGGCCAGGGATTTAGCTCAGTGGTTCCACTGCCTGCCTAGCAAGCACAAGGTCCTGAATTCTGAGTTCGATCCCTGGTACAAAAAAAAAAAAAAAGCCAAATACTTCATACATTGGTACCTTGGTTCATGAACTTACTTTGTTCTATGATTTTGGGCATGTTTGTGTTTGCTGGGAAAGATGGCTGTGGTCATGTTTGTCACCTGATGCAGAGTTTACAAACAAAAACAAAATTTTGCCAAATGCTTCTGTTTGTGAACCAAAGTGCAAACAAAAGTATACACTGCTATCAGTACAACAGGAAAGATGGGTTGAAGGCATCTTAGAAATCAGCCAGCCTGCCCTTTGCAGGGTCCAATGTGCAAAGACTGCTTTGAGAAGAGAGCTCCAGGGTACCCTGCTCAAGAACAGCTATGGGGTTATGGAAGCGTCTACCCAGATTTCAGAGAAAGGCCTGGGAGGCCAGGTAGTGTGCCCCCGAGAGGGCAGTGTATGAACCTGTGAGAGTGAAGCAGAAAGTGCAGAGAAGACCCCAGAAAGCTGGAGATGCCAAGAACTTGGAATGTCTGCTGGTAGGGAGCAAAGCCACTCTAAGAGAGAGGCCATAAGAGCTGTGACTGGCATTGTTACAAGACATGGGGCTGTCCAAGCCTTGCAGAGTTCACATCTGGCCACAACTTGCCCTGACTGCTGAACATGAACTACAGGATTTAATGTTTGCCCTGCTGGGTTTCTCTCTTGCTTTGGTCCTATTCTTTTCTGTCCACCCTTTCCTCCCTTTTGGAATGGAAATGTTCACCACATGCCACTGTATATCAGTACTGTTTAACTTTCTGATTTTTACAGGGGTTCGCAGCTGAGAGTTTGCTTTGAGTCTTGAGATGAGACTTTGGACTTGGATTTTTCAGTAGTGCTGGAACAGTTAAGACTTCGGTGACTCTTACAAATGGACTAAATGCATTTTACATAAAGAGATGGACATGAGTCATTTGAGGGGGTCAGGGAAGGAATGTTATTGTTTAGATCTGGAATGTTCCTCCCAAAGCCTCATGTGTGTGGAACATGATTGGATTATGGGACCAATATACCTGGCTTACTGTTATGAGGTGTGGGGGGGTGACCTGGAAGGGTGTACATCTCTCTCACTGGCTCCTCTTCTCTCAGCTTCCTGGCTACCACTATCTGAGGAGCTGTCCTCCTCCAGGCCCCTCTGCCCTGCCATTTCTGCCTTGGAGCCCACAGACTGGACTGAAACTGTGAGCCAAAATAAACCTCTCCTCCTTTTAAGTTGTGGATGTCGGGTACTGTGTCCCAATGATGAGAAAGTGACTAAGACACAGCCATACCAGAGGCATCCCTGCTGCACAGTCCAGGTCCGTTCTGTACTCTGCAGGCTGGCTGCAACTTGAGCTTTTCATTTAGTTACCAGCTCACATGGCACTGCCCCAGCGCTCTCCTCTGACCCTCTGAACACCATCTGAAATAACCTAGCCCAACTGTCTGTTCATGAGTTAGTCCTCCCTCACCTCCTACTGCACACAAGTGCCACAAAGATACACTGAGCTCACGCTGTGGCACTACTCTGCCCCTGGTGCACTATGGAAGATTTGTACAAATGAATGAAGTATGGCGGAATCCCAAACCTGCTTCAAAGAGACAGAGACGTACAAAACTTAGTCTACCAGGGCTGGGGATTTAGCTCAGTGGTTTCGCCACCTGCTGCGCAAGCTCAAGGACTGGAGTTCAATCCCCGGTACCAAACCAAACCAAACCAAACCAAACCAAACCAAACAAAAAGTCTACCAAACGGGAGGTGTCACCTGTTGACAAGCACAAAGTTGAAAGTCTGTCCTGTCACTCCAGAGATGCAGTCCCGCACACGCTCTAGCACTGGGATCCAGGGCTTTGGAGACAGTGTAAGGCCCGAAAACGTGTAGGTCAGCCCAGCATCGCCATATGTCGCCTGCTTCCTTGGCACGTTGTGCCACTTCCCAAACACCAGGACCCTGGCCAGCGCACCTGTGCAGATGAAACAGCAGTTCCATTCCTGTGGACAGTCAGAGATGCAGGGGCACAAGTGCTCAACACACTCCCTGAGTATTCCAGAGTCGAAGGGAAAGAGGAATAACATTTCCCTGTTCTTCATTTTGTTGTGTTCTACCCTATGGGGGATGACCTCCTCAAAAATTCATTGTGGCAGCCAGCCATGGTTGTGCATGCTTGTAATCCTGTCACTCTGGGAAACTGAGATAGGAAGAACACAAATTTGAGCCCAGTTTGGGCAACTCAGTGACTTAGGGAGACCCTGTCTCAAAAAATTAAAAAGGGCTAGGAATGTAGCTCAGTGCAGAACCCTGGGTTCAGTCTCCAGTACTGGAAAAAAAAAAATCATTGTGGCCTGCCCCAAATTTTCATGTAGGAACCATTACATGGTTCTTAGCTGGATCTAGTGGCGCATACATGCCTGTAATGCCAGCACTTGGGAGGGCGAGGAAGGAAGATCATGAGTTCAAGGCCAGCCTGGGGCAACCTGGCAAGACACTCAAAAAATAAAAAGGGGGGCCTAGGATTTAGCTCAGTGATGCTGCCGCCTGCCTGCCTCAAAAAGCACAAGGTCCTGAGTTCAATCCCCAGTACCAAAAAATAAAAATAAATAAATAAATAAATAAAGGGCTGGGGATGTAGCTCAGTGGGAGAGAGAGCTCCTGGGTTCAAACCCCAGTCTTAAAAAAAAAAAAAAGGAATTCTTGTCTTACACTTAGAAAGACAGGGCCTGAAGTCACTTTTTCTTAAACACTATTGCTTTATTGCCTTAAGAGGAAGCAGAAAGACTGAGCTTTGAGTGCAATGAAGGTAAGTTTGCACCAGTGGACGGTTTTGTCAGCCTGCGGGCCTGTGGCTGTGGGACAGGTGAGGCTCATTTAGCCCAGGCTGGGGCAGGCCACTGTTGTGCTCATCACAGGGTAGATCAATGGTTCTCAACCTCTGGTCCCCAGACCAGCAGCATCAGTATCACCTGCCAACTCCTTAGAAATGAGACTACATGGGACCCTCCCATCAGAGTTCTGCCTAGCAACAAGTTCTCCAGGGGAGGCTGAGAACCACTCAGCACTAAGAAAGAGGAATTGTCTGGTTATTCACCATCTCTCCCACCAGACCAGTGATTCCAAACCTTAGCTGCACATTAGTCACTTCGAAGCCTCACCACCACCTTGGTGCAGGAATTGAACCCAGGGCCGCAATTGCTATGCTAGGCAAGTGCCCTACCACTGAGCTACATCCCCAGTCCCTGGAAGTTTCTTAAAACACTGATGCCCAGGCTGCATCCCCAGCTATTCTAATTCAATTGGTCTCCCATAGCAGCAGCATAGTTAATTTTTTTTTTTTAACTTTCCCAAGTGAGCCTTGTCAACAAGTAGCCAGGTAGAGTCACTGTAGTCATCTGTTAGCTCCTGGTGGTCAGTCAATCCTGCTTTTTTCAACTCTGTAGCCCAAGCTCAGAGGTACCCAGAGACTATTTGTTGAATCCATCAACAAGGCTGAGTTCAAATTTCTCCAAACATAAGATCACTAGTTTTATGAAACAAGCGTTCAATGCACACATCCAGAGTCCTCTCCTTACCTGTAAAATATTCTACTTTTCTCTCCAACTCTTGGAAAATCTCATCTGCCTCAGCTTTGCCAAACAGGACTGTGTAATCGCAGTCCAGGCCCTCAGCCCGGATGTGCCGCCAGCTGGAGCCTGCCTCGTGGCTGGCCCTTTCCTTGGTCTCTCTCCTGGGCCTCTTTCTTGGGCCGCCTGGGTCTTTGTCCAAGGTAGCTGGCTCTTCTTCAGTTTGCTCTTGCTGCTCCCCTTTTCCCACATGATCTCCTTGAGCTCGTTTCATCAGGAATCGTTTCATCCTTTCTTTCTGCAGTAAGAAGTGGAGGTCGGTGGGGAAGCAGGAGAAAGAAAGAGGCCCCAGATTTTGTCCTGCATGAAAAATCTATTCATTGAAGTTTATAACCATGCCCTAGAAAGGAATTGTAGAGAGCATTAAAACTTGGAAGGGCCATTAGGGACAGGCCCAGGGTCTCCCACAATTACCTGGCTGTGCATTACGATCAGCTGGCTGGGGCTGGGAGATAAGCTTACCAAAACACAAACTAGAGAAGTCAGCTGGGTAGCATGCAAAAACCTACATGCCCACACTCCACATCCAAGCCGGGTAACTTTTAAAGAAATCCTTCCTAGGAATTGACAAGCCACGGCCATCTTTGAAAACTAAATGCCGGGCCTTCATTTTACAGATGGGGTCACCGATACCCAGAGGGTCTCAGGGATTGCCCAAAGAAACCCAGACAAGCAGGGTCTCTACTTCCGGGCCGCAACGCGGAGGAGGCGGAATTGGTAAGTGACCGCCCTACGGTCAGTATTAAGGTGACCAGAGCGAGTCAAAGGGGCCAAGCCCCACACCCCCATTGTGATAGAAATAAGAACTGTAACACATGCGGGGATGGGGGTGGTGGTGGTTGGGGATGGAAAGTTTTCCTTTTAAACTCTCAGCTCCGCCCTGGCTGGCGGGAAAAACACTCACCCCTCCCGCAGCTTGCGCAGCGCCCGTGCGCCTGTGCATTTCCGCTGCGAGCAGGGAAGCGCTTGCTGACTGGCAACACCCTCCGCCCTCGGCCTGCTTGCGCCATCTCTCGGCCGCCCAACGCATCGCTGGCATTGCGCTGTTTTGTTCTGTACAATAATTTGTTCTGCAGCTTGTCCCCCCCCCCCCCCCCGTGAAATAAAATCCGGAGGCTAAGGGGTTTTTCCCTTCTTTTTTGGTACTGGGGATTGAATCCAGGCCCTACTTCCTGAGCTACAGCCTCAGACTCCTCCCCTCCCTTTTTTATTTTGAAACCTGGCCCCACTATTGTCACCTAGGCTGGGCTCAAAGTCAGAATCTTCTTGCCTCAGCCTCCTAGAATGCTGAGATTATGGGCGTGCACTACCACGCCCGATTTTACATGTTTAATTTTATACAAATGCTGTTCAACCGTGAGCTCTCTCCTTTCTTAAATTTACACTCCTTGTCCTGGGCGCTGGCAGCGAGGCTCAAGTTCTTGTCCTCATCCAGGCTACATTTTGGAGATAGAGAGAAAAAGAAACAAGTATAAATGAGATAATTTTGTGTAGTATTGAAATGGCACTCGGAGGGCAGGCAGACCAAGGAGGAGAGCAGCACTCAGAAAATTGAAGGGAAAGGCAGGTTTTATTCGCTAGTTAGCGGGCCCAACAGAAGTCACCTTCCAGAGTTTGAGCCCCGTTTCTCCGTTTGTTCTCATATTTATCTATTCTAAGCCAGGGCGGGGGAGCCAGCAGAATTTTACAGAAGCAGAACTTAGCAAAGGGTAGGGAGGTGGAGGTAAATGTTGTTTTTACAGTCTACCTTTAAGACATAGGGAGGTAGGCAGCTGTGTTTCAGCAGTTCATCTTGCCAGCACAATGACCTTTGTGGGTTTATTTATTTATTTATTTTTTACCTTTGTGGGTTTTGCAGAAGGGGCAAATCTTAACTGTCAGCCTTGACCCCGTCAATCTCTGCCAAGCTTTGAGACTGTCAGTCTCTGCTCTGTCTTTTCTTTTTTTCCATTTCAGCATTGTAGTTATAGAACAGCAGTAGGCTGGAAGGTGGGGCAGGAGAAGGCCCGACAGGGAAGGGTCCTGAGCATAGAGATGAAGCTTTCCAGGCAGAAGGAAAGCTGTGCAGGGTATGAAGGCCTCAGCAGGACAAGCTGGTATGTCCAGCCCAAGATCTCAGAAACAGACTAGGTAGTAAGGCTGCAGTCAGAAAGGGAAGGTGCCAGGAGACCTGGGTATGAAAGTGGGGCATTATTCTAAGCACCTTGGAAACAGGTGAGTTTTAACCCGGGGCAGGGGGGTGTTTGTGATGAAATTTACATTTCTTTTTTTTTTCAACTTTTATTTTTGAATATCACAAACTTCAAAAAGTGAAGCTCTGCAAAACGGAACTTTGAAAGAATTTTTTTTCTTTTAGAGATAAGCAACTTCTCCAAACTTTGCCCTGTTGGGCACAAAACCAACACCCCTTCCTTTCCTCAGCCCCAAAGAAGTGGCAGAATATGAAGATGCTGACACAAGGAGGCCTGGAGCAAGCACCCTTGCCTTTCCACAAGAAAGGGAACAGGAGCTGAAGATGGCTGGAAGTGATAAAACAAGTGTGATCTGCATTATCTCTGGCTCCTGCCTTACTGTAAAAGGCCCTTGTCCGCCTGAACAGGGGGAGATGGTAACTAGAGGCAAACAGGCCCCTCCATCTCCTCCGGAGCTTTTGTTGAATAAATCCTTTTATCGCTTTTACCAAAATATATGGCCTCCTTTGATTTGATCAGTGGTGAGCAAAGTGGCGGGAAAAAAGACCAACTGGGCTTGTAGCCAGAAGATGGAAAAACTGCAGTTGTTTTGGAGAAATAACAAAAAGGAGATATTGCTGATTGAATATCAGTAATACTTGGGGAGGAGATGGGAGAAGGGGAGAAAAGAAAAGAATCCTGGATGTGAGTACTAGGGCGGGCAGGTTATGGTAGTGCCATCCAGGAATGAATAGTTTGGAGTTAACCCTCCATGATCTTAACGTCTTCCCCAAGATTTATAGATTTGGCAAAATGCTTGCTTTAAACACGTTTGCCCTCGGTAAAACAGGTTGTGAAAAGTGGATGAGTCGTGTATAAAAGCTCAATTAACACTATAAGGCTCCTTACATTCCCACTGCACCCCTAATAGTGCAAATACTTTTTTTTCCTTCGGAGAGGCGGAAGAACATGCCCTAAGGCGGAGGTGGGAAGCACAGACTAAATGAATGAGGAAGCAGGACTTCCAGCTGGGACCACGCCAAAACTCGCCCTTAGGGCTGTGCGCGACCCCCCACCCGCACATGCGCACTGGGCCCTCCGCTAACACCCCCCCCCCCCGAGCATGCGCGGACCGCTTGGCGCCAACTTCAGATCGCCGCGGCTTGCGCCAGCCTCTGAGGTCTGTTCTCGGCTCCGGGATGATCGGCCAGAAGACCCTCTACTCCTTCTTCTCCCCGAGCCCCGCCAGGAAACGACGTGCCTGCAGTCCCGACCCGACGGACCCCGGGGCCGGCGTGGCAGCCGTAGCTGAGAACGGCGATGTGGCGGTGAGGCGCGGCAGGGACCGCCTTGGGGGCTGGGGATAAGAGGGAGGGAGGCAAGGGTCCTGCCTGATTCGGGGGGTGCGAGAGCGCGCCACTGACGTGGTAAATTGGGACTCTGTGTTCAAAACATTTTCCACGTGTTTGAAACAGCCGCCGCCATCCCTCATCGGCCGCCATGCTGAAGCGCTAGCCAATGGGGACGAGCCCCTGGGACCGCGGCTCCAATTGGCGTCCAGTTGGCCCGCCCTGCTCAGCCTTTCGTCTAATTAGAAGAGGGCGGGGCGGGATTCCTGGAGAGCATTTTTGCCGCGAAAAGGCCGCGTGGGGACGCCTGTGGCGGGTCCCACGGGGGCGGGGCTCTTGGGTGCAGGGTCCCCAGTCCCTGGAGTCCCTCAGGGGATCCCACGGGGCAGCCTCACAGCCCCTCCTGAATCGCAGATCTTCTGATTGGGCCCCACTGGCTCGCGTCTGCTCCACCTATGGGGATCTTTTGCCCAGGGCCGCAGAGTTTGGCCGGGAAGTTGCGGGCTCCAGGAAGAGAATCGCTGCGGCTCTTAACCCGCCTCTGTGGGGACCCCTTGCAGGCCAGCCCCGCCAAGAAGGCCCGGGCAGGGCAGGAAGAGCCTGGCACGCCGCCCTCCTCGCCGCTGAGCCCCGAGCAGCTGGACCGCATCCAGAAAAACAAGGCCGCAGCGCTTCTCAGACTCGCAGCCCGAAACGTGCCCGTGGGCTTTGGGGACAGCTGGAAGAAGCAGCTCAGCGGAGAGTTCGGGAAACCGTATTTTATAAAGGTAGATACGGAGATTGGCCTTTCACGGGAAACGCGGAGGGACCTGGCCTTTTGTTAGTGTAGCAGGCCAAATCTATGTTTGTATCATGTTTTGCTTTCACTAGACTCGTATTTTACCTCAAATGCCGTTTTTAGCGAGTAAAGCGGGTCATCGTGTTCTGAATCCGCATGTTTATATTGGTTAGAGTTGTTTAAGACTGTAAGGTGTATTATGGCTTCTTTTAAGCCACTTAGTTTGCTCTCCGAGAACGGTTGGCCTTGTAAAACTACCAACCAGACTGAATGAAACCGTGCTTGCCCTTTACAAAGGGACAGTTGACACTGTTGGGAAAGTAAAGCAAAACAAAGCAACTTTGTTCCGGCTTAGAGAAAGCGAGAAGGAATTGATGTGATTGAGCAAGTTAAGTGGGGAGCAGATACTATTTTTGTTTGTTTATTTACTTTTGGAATTTGGATTTAAAACATGGAAAGGAGGGCCGGGGATGTAGCTCAGTGGTTCTGGCCCCTGCCTTGAAATACAAGGTCCCAAGTTCGATCCCCAGTACCTTCCCCCCAAAAAACATGGAAAGGAGCTAGATAGGGTTTCAAACAGCTTGAGTGAGGTTTCTAACTCAATTCTTATGGTTTCCAGTGCGAATCTGATTTTAAATCTAGTTTATCTTTTAAATTAGCTAATGGGATTTGTTGCAGAAGAAAGAAAACGTTATACTGTTTATCCTCCCCCACACCAAGTCTTCACATGGACCCAAATGTGTGACATACGAGATGTAAGTACAACTTTTGAATTTTATTATGGGAAGAGATCAAATAGTGTTTCGTTAGGGGCACTGGAGTTAAGCCACAGTCCATAATTCAATAATAAATAATACTGAAGTGGTGAGGTTTCAGTCTATATTTACTCTTTAACCTTTGCTATGTGCTATTTTTGCAGCAGAAAATAAAAATTTGTACATAGACCTTGTGTGTGTGCGCTCTTGTTTTGTAGAAAAATTCATTCCTTTTTTTTCCCCCTTTTGTGTTGCTGGGGTATAACTCAGGGCCCTGTGTGTACAAGGCAAGCATTCTACCACGAAGTAACACCACCAGTCTCCCTTTACTATTTTATATATTCCTGCAAGCTTATTTCAGTGATCATTGATCAATTTTTTAAAATCTTGTTAATCATGGATAGTGTAACTGGGAAAGTGAAAATCTATATTCGGAAATGCCCAGAGAAATGTAGTGGACAAAAGAGGCAAAAAGAATGAAACAGTTACATCTTAGAAGTAGCAAGGATAGTGGTTTCATCGCCTGCGCAAGGACCCGAGTTCAATCTCCAGTACCAAAAAAAAAAAAAGAAGTAGCTAGGATGGGCTGAGGGTGTGGTTAGTAGTAAAGCACTTGCCTAGCATGCCTGAGGCCCTATGCATCCCCATCACTATCCCTCAAAGTAGCTAGGCTGTGCCACTGAATTATCAGTCAACTTTAAGTATGAGTAATATGCATCATTGAAATCTATTAATTTTCCCAAGCTCATTTCATGTAGGAGCTTTATCAAACTTATCACGACTCACAGTGCTATTTTTTTATTGGTCCATTTTAGATTTACAAAGTAACATCATAGAGAATTTGTACCTGTAAGTGATATATCTTGCTTCTTTTTTTCCCATTCTCTCCTCCAACCCCATTTCTCCTTTATTTACAAAAGCTTTGTTTTCACTTTTTTCCTTCTATTCTCTCTTTTTGGACCCTTCTTTACTTTCTCCCTCCCCTTCCCTTATTCCCTTCTCATTTGAACATTTTCTTCCCATTTCCCAATATCTACTACATTTTCGTCCTTACTTACACTTGGTTTCTCACACCAGAGAAACAATGCGGTATTCAAACATGTCACAGTGCTAAATTAACTGGTAGAAGAAATAAAACAAGGGAACAGAGGATAATGCGTTAGTGGGAGACCCAGCCTCTAAAACATTGTGAATTGAGTCTCTTTCATGCATTTCATAATGAACCTAAGGGCTTCTTGAATCTTACCTGGGTGCAGTCTTTGCTGTTGGGGAAGTATGGGAAAGCCACAGTAGTGAAAAGGCCATAGCGCCAAGCAAAGGACTGGAGGACTCATTTGAAGGAGGAACTTTGTAATACACGTTTTTGTTAGTGAGACTGCCTTTCCTCAAAGCTAAGATGGCTACACCACATGATAACAGCCTCTATATTGTCGTGACATTTTAAAAATTCTTTTGGTTTTACAGTACTGGGGATTGAACCCAGAGAAGGCTGAGCTACATCACCAGGCTTTTTAAAAATTATTTAATTATTTTAATTTTGAGACAGAGTCTAGCTATGTTGCCCAGGCTTGCATCAAGTTTGTGATCCTGCTGTGTCAGCTCCAGAGTAGCTGGTATTACAGGTGTGTGCCACCATACCTAACATTATTATTTTATTTATGGCAGTACTGGATTGAACTTAGGGCGTTCACACTGAGCTACATCCTCAGCCCTTATTTAATTTTTATTTTGAGGCAGGGTCTCACTAAGTCACTAAGTTCCCCCTGCTGGGCTCAAATTTGGAATTCTTCAGCCTTTCAGAATGCTGGGATTATAGGTACATGCCACCAAGCTCATCTCTATATTTTTATTTTTAACTGACATATAGTAGTTGTACATATTTATGGGGTACAGTGTGGGGTTTCAATATGTGTAATGATAAGATCAAGGTAACTGGCATATTTACCACTTCAGGCATTTTTGTTTTGTGTTGAGTGCCCTCAAAATTCTACTAGCTATTTTGCAAAAGTATTCAATTAATTGATAGACATTGGTCTATGCCAGTGATGGCAAACCTTTTAGAGACCGAGTGCCAAACCGCATCCCAAAACCCCCTTATTTATTGCAGAGTGCCAATAGTGCAATTAAATCTGAATACTGAGGTTTTGATTTAGAGAACACAAATCTACATTAACATCTTTTGTCTTAGAAGAAAAACACAACACGCATGGCATGGGTTCACTACCACTGATCTATGCTATGTCTCCTCTCTTTGCACCCTTCCCAGGTTCTGCCAACCATTACTTTGACATCAACTTTTTGTGTATGCTCTCATTTGTATTTTATTTAATATAGAAAATCCATGCCAGTATTAGGTATCATTGCAGTGGTAATGAAGAAACCAGGTCATGAAACAGTTAAGTCTTTGTGTGTTACTTTTAGTTGGTCCCCACCGTGTAACTTGCCCACACTGGCTGGTGTAGTTGGCACTTTCAAGGTCTTGACCGCTGGGCTTCCTTTGTTCATCCTGTGTGCAGTTGCCGCTTGGCGGCTCTGATCACTTCAGTTTCCTGTTCAGAAGCTTTCAAGGAACGAAGGGCTGGCAAAACAGCCTGCTAGGCCCTCAAATAGGGACATGTCCTACTGCCCAGCCTTGCCTCTGTCTCTGCTCTGGAGTCTGACAGTGCAGTACCATGCAGTATTTCTGCCTTTAAAGAACCAACTGGATCCATCTGTGGCACTTCCTTGAAACCTGTTGCTGACTCCATTGTGATTGGGTTTTCCTCTGAGATTTTGCGATACCTTCAGCTTGAGCTGACACCAGGAGGGGTTAGGCTTTATTCTTTTTCCTCTCTCCCATTTTGTAAGCTGGGATAGGAAGTTAGTATTTAGTGAATATCTTCTTCAATCAAAGAAGTAAAATAGGTGGACAAACCATCTTGGTAAGACAGCCATGCCTAATACTTAGAAAATTTCACAGTCTTTATTGTAGTATAAGAATTTTGAATATAGATAACTCCTTGTTTTTGTAAACTAAGTCCTATTACATTCAGTACTAATTTACTTCTTGTTTGACTGTTGTGCAGTGTCCTGAATATTATGTGTAGTATTCTGATGTATAAACAAGGAAGACTCAAGAGTATCAAATCTATGCCTCTGAGGCTGATGGGACCTTGGCCTGCTTTGCAGATGAGCATTAGGGGTCAGGTTAGGTGATTTACCTGAGATCATCCCTTAGCCAGGTCTGGAGCCTGGAGCTGGCAAGCTTCCCTGCCAGGCTGGGCTGCTTCACCTTGGAAAATATGCTGGTGACCCAGTGAGCAGTAAAGTCAGAACCAAGAACTTACTGGTTATGGCAGCATTGGTCTACAGCTAGACTGGAAGGATGCAGAGGGTGTGTGCTGAGGAGGAAGGTTTGGAGAGAAGCAGGGGCAGAAGCAGGAGGGTGAGGTCAAGGCAGACAGTTTATCTGGAGGCCTGCATTTCAACACCTGGGAGGCCGGTACCTCATTGTTCTTCATTGCCTCTTGCCACTCATTCCTCTAGCCCTTGGACTGATCTCTTTATTCTGGTTTCATCTGTTCCATCTCTAGGGGAATAGGCCTCTTTGCTCCTAGTGAGGAATCTGAATTGTATGAAGGTTTAAAATATGTTGGGCCAGGGATTTAGCTCAGTGGTTTTGCTGCCTGCTGCGCAAGCGCAAGGACCTAGTTCGATCCCCGGTACCAAAAACAAAACAAAACAAAACAAAAAAATAAATAAAATATGCTTGTCCCTTGACAAGCCACTCCCCATGATGCACAGACATGAAGCACCAGTACCTAAGGGCATCTGTACTTGGAGCTCACTGCAGGGTTTTTCCTTAATGAACAGTGCTGGAAATAAGTGGACTGCCCATGAGTAGGGACTGAGTGCTCTATTGACTTAAAGCCTACAGTGTTCAGCAGAAGACACACAAAACATAGGGTAATGAGTGCAGTAACTCCAGTTATATGGGTAATTAAAATTGTTAACTTGGGGGCTGGGAGTGTAGCTCAGTGGAGCTTGCCTAGAATGCTTCCCTAGCATTCTGGAAGCCCTGTGTTCAATCCCCAGTACTATACACACACAAAATAGAAAATGGCTAACTCAGAAATGGCTAATCACTGTGTGTTTCTGGATGTTGAACTTTTTACAAGGTGTATTTACTTTTGTAACTTGAAAAGTGAAGAAGGTAAATGCAAAGTTGATCCCAACTTGTCTCACATTTGTCAGAGAAAAGGTGCACAGCACATCTGGGTGGTGCAGTGAAGGATAATGGGGATGGGAAGTGACAGTACCAACCAGGGCTCTCCTCCTCACATTGTGACCCTCTGTGTAATCAGCCAAAATCACGTGTTTTTTGGGACTGAGCACTGTAGTATTATCTAATTCTTTGTAACCTGTTGTTCACAGGTGAAAGTTGTCATCTTGGGACAGGATCCTTATCATGGACCCAATCAAGCTCACGGGCTCTGCTTTAGCGTTCAAAGACCTGTTCTACCCCCACCCAGGTACAGTTGCTGTACACATGGCTTGGGCCTGGCCTCAGTTGCTTTCAGATGTGTACTCTGCAAATTACAGGTGCTATTGTTTTGAGGACCTTGAGTAGCCGTTAGAGGAGGAAGATTTCTCAACCATAGCACTGTTGAGTTGAATCATTCTTCACTGTGGGGAATTGCAATGTCCTGTGCACTGTAGGAAGTTCTGCGGGAGGCAACACCTTCCCTAGTTAAGAACCACTGCTTTGAAGAATTTGATATTTAATACATACAAAGTTGCCTGTAGGCCTGTAATCCCAGCAGCCCAGGTAATTTAGAAACCTTGTCGAATTTAAAAGGGGGCAGGGTGCTGAGAATGTAGCTCAGTGTAAAGGCCTGGCTCAATCCCTGGTACCACATACACAATAATATATACAAATATAATAAGGATATAGGCTATAAGTATCAGTGAGGAGGTGGTTGTATCTGGTGGACAAGTTTCTTTAGTTCTTCCAAAGTGCTTCTCTGTTCCGTAAATCCCAGTATAGATCAAAGGAAAGATCTTTGGCATACTTACCCATCAGAGGGGCTAGAGGTGTTTATCTCATGAATCAGGGTCATAGGTTCCAGTGTTCCTTCCAAGGACTGGCTTTAAACCTCTAACCTTTTCACTGTATCTTTAGAGATTACTGAACTTGCAGAATTATGCTTAAGATTCTGTGTTTGTTTTTTCCTTTCTGGCTTGCTTGCAGTTTGGAAAACATCTATAAAGAGCTGTCAACAGACATAGATGGCTTTGTTCATCCTGGCCATGGAGATTTATCTGGGTGGGCCAAACAAGGTAAGCCTACCCCTGCTAGGTATGTCTTGCACTAACGCCAACAACTTTTTGATCTGTTTGAGCTTGCAGCAATCCTGCTGCCTCAGCCTCCAGTGTGCTGGTCCCAGCACTCACAGGAATGTGCCACCACACTGGGTGGGTTTGTTAAATATTTAAATGGCTAAATATGTTTTATCCTGCAGCCAGTTTTTAAATATTTTAATTGTGAGAGAGAAACATTTGTTCCTATTATAAATATTGTTATTCTTTGGGATGAATATTACATAGATGTTTTTAAAAACAATTCTGATGACATATAACACGTTTTTATTGCCTTCAACTAGAAGATGCCAAAAAAGCAGAGATGCAAATAGAATGCCCTCTAATCTTGCCCAGAGGTCGGCACTAGTCATGGTGAAACACTCTTTATGATCTAACTTCATTCAGCTGCACTGGGTCCTATAGAATAGAGCAAATGGTTTCTGGGTCTAACCCCTGTTGTCAGGAGCTTTCACTGCTGCCTTTGAGCCTTCTTTTCACCTGTTTCTGTGGCCTGTGTTCACAGGTGTCCTCCTGCTCAACGCCGTCCTCACTGTCCGGGCCCATCAAGCCAATTCACATAAGGAGAGAGGCTGGGAGCAGTTCACTGATGCAGTTGTGTCCTGGCTCAATCATAACTTGAACGGCCTCATCTTCTTGCTCTGGGGCTCTTATGCTCAGAAGAAGGGCAGTGCCATTGACAGGGTATGACTTTTTAAAATACTTTGACCAGGGCCGGGGATTTAGCTCAGTGGTTTTGCTGCCTGCTGCGCAAGCGCAAGGACCTGAGTTTGATTCCTAGTACCAAAAAATAAAATAAAGTACTTTGACTAGGCTAGAGAATTCTAGCAGTCACTGCCACTGATATGTGGTCCTGGGAAATCCACATTATGAAATGAGTCTGTTAGAAATAGAAATAGAAAACTAAGCAGAATTCAGATAAATTATAGGAACAGTTAATTGTGTGTGAGGAAGGCAGCTGGCCAGTTTGCAGTTTAGTGCATTTAGTAATATAGGCATCGACTCACAGTGGATACAGAGGACACAGAAATTCCTGGGTTCCCTCATTTAACACACGACCCCCCGGTGTGTGATGAATTGAGGCAGTGTCCTGCCTCCAAGAAATTTGGAAGCATATAGAAAATGAGGAATTCCACTTAATCAGAAACTCAACTTCCCCATGAAATTACTTTTAGTGATAAGCACTAAAACCTAGTTCTGATTGTGAATACCCAACCTGGCAAGTCGCATCTTTTAAATTTCCACCCACCCTGCATGCTCCACCATCTTGGAACCTCTCTGCTCTTTCCCATTCAGTAACTTACGCACCTGTGTGCTGAGATCTGGAGTCCTCCTTGAACTCCTTTGTTTCCCTCTTGCCCTCAAGTCCTGTCCATCAGTGAGTCCCATCAGCTCCACCCTGGGGACTTCCCAGTCCTTCGGCTACTCACAGGCACCCTACCCTGCTCCTGCTCTGGGGCTGGCCATCTGCATTTCTCCAAAGGACCATCATTAAACCATGTGCAGGTGGATTAATGACGGAGTAGCAGAGGGGCTATTGGGGATGGGAGGGAGAAGAAGAGTTAAGGGATGGTTTAATTTGGAGAGATGCTGAATTGGGAAGTGTGAGTGGGGAGAAATTATCTCATAAATGCTTTAATAACTGAGATCAAGGGCTTATTTCTGGTGCATCAGAAATGTGTGGTGACTTTGAACTTGACGGTTTGTCAGCAGGCATCACAGTGTGTGCTGAATTTACTTAATAGCAGAGGACTTAGAGGGTAGAGGGAATGCCTTATCCCCATTTTACATTGGGGTTCAGAGAGACAAGTCACATACTCAAACTTGGCATTGAATGGCGGCGCCAGGATTCGAGCCTGCCCCAGAGTTTGGGATTCTATGTTCCCAAGCATCTGGGGAGCAGCCACCCCACCCCCTACCTCTAGGCAACGTTTCTAAGCGTAGTAGATACCAATGATTGAAAGTAGTGTAATCCCAGGTACTTAGGAAGCTGAGGCCGGAGGGTCACAAAGGTAGTCTGGACAACTTGGGAAGACCCTGTCTTTTTATTTTGGTACCGGGGATCGAACTCGGGTCCTTGTGCTTGCACAGCAGGCGACGAAACCACTGAGCTAAATCCCCGGCCAGGAAGACCCTGTCTTAAAATGTAAAGAAGGCCTGAGGAGGTAACTCAATGGTAAATCGCTTGCCTAGCTTGTGTGAGGCTGAGTTCAATCCCCAGTACTGCAAAAAAAAATTTCTTTTAAATATACCAAGAGATTTGAAAAGTCTCTCTCCCATCCTAGCTTCCTTCTGCTCAGTTTCCACCTGGCTTGGGTGAGCACTGGCTTTAAAAAATTTTTGATACTGGGCCGGGATTTAGCTCAGTGGTTCCGTCGCCTGCCTCACTGGCGCAAGGTCCCGAGTTCAATTCCCGGTACCAAAAAATAAAAAAAAATTTCTGATACATCCTTCTAGAGTCTTTATGCATGTACAAGCAAATAGTAAGTCAGATTAAAAGCATCTTAGAATGCATAAGATATTTTCAGAGGTTTTTCTTAAGGAAAGAACTGCAGAGAAAAAAATCTTGAATGAATTTGACCATGAATGAACTGCTAACATGGTTATCCAAGTAGGAAAGAAGTGTGCCTGTCATTTCTAACCTCTGCACCTTAGGTTTATGGCCAATCTAATTCTTAGTACATTTGTTATTATTAAACCTGATTTAGTCTAAAAGTAAACCATTGCTGAAGAAACTCCATCATTCAACCATGTTAAATATCTCTAGCAAGTCTCCTAAGCAGTAGATCTGGTATATATTACCTCCTTACTAGTGTCCCATAAGCCCATCAAATTCAACATTTTCCACACTAAATTCTCCTTACTAAACTTGCACCTCTGTAGTCCTCTGCAATAAAAAATTCCATCTGCGTGGTTGTCTAGCCAGGACTCTGACAGCATGCCAGTCGGCACCCACCTACCTCTCTGCTCTCCTGCTCCTCCTTCCTTTCCTCCCCTATCCTCTCCCTAAGTTCAGTCTTTCATATCTACAAGCTTTCCTCCCTCTGCTGCCTTTCAGATCCATCCCAGGTGCCACATTGGCCAGGATCAGCCTTCATCTGACTGTGCCCGGAGGCTTCCTATGCCTTCTGGGAAGGCCTGGGTTTAGGCTGCTGGGCGGAGCTGGGAATAGCCTGCAGCAGGCTTCACAGCCCTGGCTTTCCTCTCAGCTCCAGGCTGACTGAGCCATCTGCACCCTTCCCCTGTGCCCACTTCCCTGCTGTTTTTGGCACAACCTGTGTCCTGGGTGCTGACTGGGGTTCTTTTCAGGCTGACTTTCCCTTGAGAGCTAGGGTCACCGACTAACAAGGCCTGTGCTGCTTGCCAGTATAAGGCTTTCTCATAATGCTCTACCTGTGGTCACTCGTCTGATGCCTCACAGTAACAAGGTGCTATTGAGCTACATCCTTTTTTGTTTTTATTTTGAGACAGGGTCTCACTAAGTTGCCCAGGCTGGGCTCAAGCATGTGACCCCTTGCCTCAGCCTCTCAGAGGGCTGGGATTATGGGCATGTGCCACCATGACCAGCTTGTTATTGCTCATTTACAGGTGAAAACTGAAATGCAACTTCACCATGATTGCTCAACTGTCAAGTGGCAGAGCTGGGATTTGAACCCAGGCTCTGTGCTCTTGACCTTGCTGGGCTGCCTCTCTTTAATTATCACTCCTGCTGGACTGAGCTTCTTTGAGGCAGGGATGTTCTAAAAAGCTATTCTGATTTTTTAGGTAGTTTTTATTTAAATACAGAAAATAATTGAAAGAAAAACAAAAATGGCCCATAATCTGTTTAGATAATTACAGTTGACATTTAAAAAATCAAAATATTCCATTTTTTGTGGTGAGAAAATTCAGACACTATAGAAAAATATAAAATGGAAATAAATCTCTTCCACTGTCTCTTTCACCTAAAGGAATTACTACATATATATATATATATTTGATTTTTATATTTGGCATTGCTGGGGATTGAACCTAGGGCACTTGCCTCATTATGTGCCAGGCAAGTGCTCCACCACTGACCTACAACCTAGATCTCAAAACTAAGTTTTGTTTTGTTTTGTTTCTTTCAGACAGGGCCTCATTATGTAGTTCAGGCTGGCCTTGAACTTAACTACATAGTCTGGGCTGGCCATGAACCTGCAGAGATCCTCCTGTCTCAGCCTCCAAAGTACTGGGATTACAGGTGTGCACTACCACATCCAGCAAAAACAATTTTTGATGCTTTTTTTTATTTCACCTTGCTTTTTTTTCACTTGATAGTTTTGAGCTACAGGTGTAGTTCAATAGTAGAGTATGTACCCAGAATGCACATGGCCCTGGGTTCAATTCCCAGCACAATTTTTTTAAAGTATAGGTAATTTGACCTTGTTCTTTCAGCAGCTGGGTGGTGTTCCATTGTAAAAAACTTCAGAAAAATATTTCAGTCCTGTAACACTAGACTTATATGAGGCCGGGTGGATTTTGTTTTTTCCTGTGATATGGGAAGTGAAGCCAGGGCATGCTTAGTTAATTCTAGCCCTTTTTAAAAAATGCCCCCCCCCCTTTTTTTTGCAGTACTAGGGATCCAACTAAGGACCTTGTGCTTGCAAGGCAAGCGTGGTGCCACTGAGCTAAATCCCTGGCCCACCCTTTTTTAAATTTTATTTTGAGATAAAGTCTAGCTAAGTTGCCCAGGCTGTTGCTGAACTTAATGATCTTGCAGCCTCAGCCTCCTAAGTAGCCAGGATTACAGGTATGTACCACAACATGAAGCTTAGCTGATAGGGTCTCACTTTGTATTCTAGGCTGGTCTTGAACTCGCTATGTAGCCAGGCTGGTCTGAAACTCACAGCAATCCTCCTGCCTCAGCCTCTTGAGTGCTGGGATTATAGGCATGCGCCACCATGACCAGCTTTGGCTGACTTTAGTCATAGATGAAAGCAATGTCAGTTCCTCCTGCTCTACACTCACCTTTGTGTGAGTACACTCGTTGTAGTATCCTTTAGCAAACGTAATCAAAGTGCAATCTGAGCAGAGGCGTTTACTGTATGATACCACCTGGTACTTAGAAATTGCATAGATCCTGCCAAATTGAAGGCTGGGGCTGGTCCTGTACAATGCCAGAGCCTAACAAAAGTAATCACTACAAGTGAGTGTACAAATGAAAAAATTTCTAATACAAATGCTGAGGGTAGGTTTACTTTGAAAGGCGGAGGCATTTAGATGGGGCAAAGGGAATTGCATCCCCAATCTATCACTTACTATTGTTCCTCTTCCAGAAGCGACACCATGTCCTACAGACTGCTCATCCCTCCCCGTTGTCAGTGTATAGAGGATTTTTTGGCTGTCGACATTTTTCTAAAGCCAATGAGCTGCTTCAGAAGTCTGGCAAGAAGCCCATTGACTGGAGTGAACTGTGACCCCACAGAGCGGTGGTCCACCTCTTGGGGTGATGTTTGAGGAGCTGCTGTTGAAGATTTATCAGCTACAAAGTTACTGAAAGTTTCTGTACCATTAAGCACCCTGCTTAATAATCAGAAAAAGCTTCCAAAGAGCACCAAGAACCAGCCTGTCGTTGGATGGCAGCTTTATCCAGGCAAAAGGAGGTAGCAAAGATACCCTTTGACCACTTCTGCGTATTTGAACTGTCCCCCAACCAAGGCAGAGGTGGCTTGTTGAAAAATGTGCACATTTCTTGCAAGACACCTGAGGTCAAATACTCCTTGGTTCTCTTCACCTCCTTTAGCCTTGTGGTTAAAAGGGGAGATAAGCACCTTTTTGATACTCCCATAGTTTGGTGCCTGCTGCTACTTTAGAGTTCATAGGTTACAAAGTATTCTGTGTTTTTGCTTAGAACCTTCCCCCTCCATCTTTTAAGGAGCCCCAGATCCTCCCTGGAGAAACCTTGAGGAAGTCTTGCAAGCTTCTAGAAACCTGGCCCTGAAATTGGGAATCAGTTTCCTGATTGTAGTAGCAGAGGCTGGTATTCCTAAGAATTGTCCTTGGTGTGAGCCTGTGAGCCTTAACAGACCAGCAGTCTAGAAACCGAAACCAGCTAGGTCTTTATCCTGTTCTTTGGGTGCTTCCTGGAGTAGTAGGTGGTGGAATTTGAGTGGAGAGAGTTTTGTTTTTAATGGGGGGGGATGGGTGTTTTTCTCCCAGTGCTTTTGTTCGTGGGGTGGGGTGGGGTGGGGCAAGGTGGCACAGGCTGCCCACAGTGCTGTTTTTGTTTTAATGGACTGAAATCACTTGGAGATTTTTTTTTTTTTTTTTTGCAACACTGGTGAGTTTTAACTTTTTTTTAAATAAAATACTACATAGATACATATATTTTTCTCAATCCTTTGTGGTACTGGGGATCGAACTAAGGACCTTGCACTTGTGAGGCAGGCACAGCACTACTGAGCTTAATCCCTGGCCTTCAGTCCTTTTTTTTAAGAGACTGTGTCTGCACCCCTGAGCTAGATGTGATGGAGTTTGTTTTTGTTGTCAGCAGGGTTAAGAAGTTAACTGCGCACATTTGGTAATAAAAGATTGTTGAAGTTTCACTTGGTACAGACTCTTCTTTGGCCTCTGTGGATAGTCTGGCTGCCTTTATACTTAGTGTAGTGCCTGTGCCTGGCCCCCTGGTTGCCAGGGCAACCATTGTCCAGGTGAGGGCTGCCTTGCCTCCAGCCAAGCTCCACTGGGATGGCACTGCTCACCCCCTGCCAGGCCTTGGTAAATTGTGGGCCCGCCCTCTGCCTGGAGCACCCTGACCCCTGAGTTGAGTGGGGCAGGCTAGCTGGAATTGGCTGGAATAAAGCAATGCTTGGGGGATCTTGGCATGCTCATCCTGGCTGTTTTCTCTTCCCATACAGTGACTATTTCTAGACTGCCCTAGAATCTGATGTGACTTCCCTGGGCTTCTGATGTGACCCCCTGGTGGCCTGTAGGCCTGAAAACAGTTGACCCTTGGAACTGGTGGGCTGTCAGGGTGAAGGTATGGCTCCCTTGGCATCTGGAGAAGGAAGGAAAAGATATAATGGGTGTAGCTCAGCAGGAGAGCATGTGGCTTGGTGTGCATTAGTCCCTGAGCTCCATCCCCCACACCAAAATCAAAACAAAGTGTAATGAAGGCTTGTAATGAGTACTTGAATTGAGCAAGAAGGAATACATCTAGTGACAACGTGGAGACCAGCTAGTACATTTGACAGGGTGGAGATAGGACACCATAGTTTTTTTTTTGTTGTTTGGGTGAGGGTACTGGGGATCAAACTTGGTTCCTTGTGCTTGCGAAGCAGGCATCGAAACCACTGAGCTGAATCCCCGCCCCTAGAAGACCTTAGTTTTGCTTGGAATCGTTTCCTCTCCGGGCCTCAGATTCTTTGTGGAAAGGATGATTAGAAGTCTGCATTCTGATCAGCAAATGGGCTTCTGCAGGAGGAAGATGCATCCTCAGTTTGCCTTCTGGTCCCTTTGGGATCTTCCCTGAAGGGCTGCAGTGGACTCCCTTACCCAAGGGAGAAGTGAGGAGGTGGTACTTCTATTTTGCATAGACTTTGACACCTCTTGAGTGCAGGGCTGTGAGTAAGAAGGAGCAGTTACCATAAATAACTCAATAAACAGTCATTTGATGTTCTCAAAAAAAATATAGCTGAATGTGGTGGCCCAGGCCTGTAATCTCAGCTATTTGGGACTCTTAGGGCAAGAGGATTATAAGTTTCAGGCCAGCCTGGGTTACATAGGGAGACCTTGTCTCAAAATAAAAAGGACTGGGGATGTGACTCAATAGTAGAGTGTTTGCCTAGTTTGTGTAAGGCTTTAGGTTCAATCTCTAGTATCAAAGAACATTAAATTTTAAGAAAATTTTATATATGTGTGTGTGTGTGTGTGTGTGTGTGTGTGTGTGTATCTATCTTTTGACCTCGCTATGCTTCCAGCCCTTGATGTGCAAAAATGAATAATAAGAATAAAACACTGAACCTTTTAGGCCAGAGGTTGGCACACTTTATATGAAGCATCAGATACTCAATATTTTAGGTTTTGAAGTCGTCTGGTCTCTAGGAAGAGACCGTATCTCTCTATTTTGGGGGGGAACTGGTACATATGTATATCATGATCTTTTTTTTTTTGGTACCGGGCATCAAACTTGGGTCCTTGCCCTTGCGAGGCAGGAGGCAGAACCACTGAGCCAAATCCCTGGCTCTAGGAACTGTTTTACATTTGGAGAGAAAGCAGCTAAGGGCAAAATGTAAACAAACAGCTGAAACTGTCCTAATAAAACTATTTGTAGACACTGAAATTTGAATTTATGATATTTTTTTGTCACTGTAAATGGTTTTTTGTTTTGGGTTTTGTGCTGGAGATTGAACTCAGCACCTTTGCGGTGAGCTACATCCCCAGCACTTTTTAATTTTGAAACAGGGTCTTGTTAAGTCACTAAGTTACCCAGGCTGGGCTTGAATTTGTGATCTTCCTGCCTTGGCTTCCCTCAGTGCTAGAATTACAGATGGGCATGTGCCACTATGCCCAAGGAGTATCATTATAGTTTTGATTTAACAAATATAAAAACCACTCCTAGCTATGTGCAGTGAGGCCAGCCTGTAATCTCAGCTATTTGGAAATAGGCAGGAAGCTAGCCTGTTTGAGGCCAGCCTGGGCAACCTAGTAAGAAGACCCTGTCTCAAAATGTAAAAGAATGGTATAGTGCTTGCCTGGGTCTTGCTTGAGGCCCTGGGTCCAGTCCCCAGTATCTCAGGACAGAAACTCCTAACTTGGGAGCCATAGTTTGTAGACCGTTGGGTGCTCCCACTGTCTGGCAGGATGGAAACAAAAAGAGCACTGGGTCAGCACAGGAAAGAAGAAATTCCCCAAGAAGGGAATGTTTGAGCTGCATATTGAAAGAGATAGTTTCCAGGTCAGGAAGAGGAAGGACAGCATTTGGGAGAAAGGCAGTCTGTTCAAGGCCAGGTAGCCGGGACTCTTGAGTGCTGTGTACTGATTGGAGGGATCCACAGGGCACGGTGTGGGACTCCCAGGACATCATGATCCCAGGTAAAGAGGAGAGGACCTGCTTATGGCTTGGCTTTCAGGCTTTTGAGATTTGTAACCTAGGGAAATCAGTTTTGCAATGTCGTCTCAGAACCCTAAGTTGTAAAATAAGTAGTTGTGTGAAAGTTCAGCCAACATGATTCCTGTCTCCTCCCTTCTCAGGTAAGGAGAGGAAGTGCCCATGGCTTGGCTTTTAGGCCTTTGAGTTTGGTAGCCTAGGGAAATCAGTTAAGCAAATGTCATCCTCAGAACCCCAAGCTGTAAAATAATTAATTGTGTGAAAGTTCACTACCTGATTTTGATTTGAAATCTGGTGGGGCAAATTTGTGATGGGATTGTTTGCGATTTTTTTTTTTTAGTAGAGTAATGTGTTATTAAGCTTGCATTCAGATGGTGCATTCTCTCTACCTAGAATTCACTGTCCACCTCAGCTTCCTTCTGGTAGAAGTAGTATTGGGAAAGGTTTTTGGTGGAGAAGCAAACTTGTTGGTGTAGGTGAGTAGCAGTGGCTTTTTATCCATGCTGAGCTTGCCAGGTGTCTGAAGAAAAACAGATAGGGGAGCACTGGGCTACTTTTGGAGGGTCCTTGATTGTCAGCTTGGCCTACCCAGGCTGAAACACTGGTATTTTTGCCTGCTAGAGATGACTATGTTTTCCTCCTAGAGTCCTTCTGATGCTTTAATTTGGATCTGACACCTTCTAGATTATCTCAGTTGGAACCAGTTTTTAAATTATTATTGTTATTATTATTATTATTATTATTAACCATACTGGGAACTGAATCAGGGCCTTACACATTCTAGGCATGTACTCTTACCAACGAGCTATATACTCCCAGCCTATGTACTTAATGTACGCATGTACATATGTACTGGGGGTTGAACCTAAGGCCCTCACACCCCAGCCCTTTATTTTTCTGAGACAGGGTCTCAATAAATTGCCCAGACTGAGCTTGTTCTTGGGATCCTCCTGCCTCAGCTTCCCAAGGTTACAAGTGTGTGCCAACATACCTGGTTTACTTTTTACATTTTGGATGTGTGGAAATGAGAGTACTGGTGAGTGGGCCAGACCAGGAGAGCAATACTTTCTGACGTTTGCTTCTCAGCTGTGTATTTCCTCTGTTCTTTGTCTTTCTCAGTTAGTGGTACTCGGGGTGAGGCGAAGGGAGGTCAGGAGGCTTCCAAAGAGTGGTTAGTGCTCCTGGAATTTGGGCAAACTTTAAAAAATATTAGTGCACGGCTGGGATGCAGTTCAGCGATAGAGTGCTTACTTAGCATATGTGGAGCCCTGGGTTCCATGTCCAGGACCACAGAATAATAACAATGCAGACTCTATTTGCTAGAAATTCTGATGTCCCTGGGCAGCAGGCACCTGCATGTTTGTAAGGTGTCTGGTTTGCAGCAGGACCTGTCAGCTATGTGGTCACCTAATGATTTTTTAAATCTTAGCAAATAACTAGATATGTATGACTTTCTAAATCTAGGGTAGTTTTGAACAAATATGTTCCTATTCTTGTGTTTGGTGGAAAGAAATCATAAGTAACTGGTTAATTCCATTTGTGTTCTAGAAAATACCTACATTTTAAAGAGATATTGTCAAGGGAGAAAAAGCCATAGGATGGAGTTCTTCACCTGTGTGTCTAGTCCCTTGGAAAATACTGAATTTTGTTAGAAAGATATTAAATGCCTGTAAGGAGTAGAACATTATGCTGGAGGTTCAATGTGTATTCATTTTCTCAACTGTACAAAGTACTTGATAAGAACACTTCAGGCTCAAAGTCATTGGTAACATCAAGATAAAAACAGTCATGCCAGGCTGATTTTAAAGCCTAATTTTGCCACTGTCAACATCCTGCTTAGGTTACAATTAATGGCATCATTGGAAACATGTTTTTAAATTTTCTTTTTATTCTACAGGGGCCAGAACCCAGGACCTCACATGCTATTCCAGTGCTCTACCACTGAGCTGTACTTGAAGCCAGGAAGGAAGTTTTCTTTTTTTTTTTAAATAGAAAAAAATTTTATTTTATTTTTCATTAAGTTTATTCGTACATTTTAGGTATACATTATGATGACATTCATCATTGGGAATTTTTACCTGTACATAATATATCTTGGTTCTTGTTTTTTCCCCATTCCCTGTCCCTCCCTTGTACCCCTCCCTATTTACAAAAATTTTGTTTCTGTTTTTACCTTTTCTCATGTTTTTTTCTTTTCCTTCTTTCCTTTCCCCCACCCCTCCTCCCTAATTCCCCTTCCCTTTGGATCTTTTCTTCCTATTTCACATTATTATACATTTTGGTCCTCATTTATACTTTCAATTTCTCACACCAGAGAAACTATTCAGTATTTACATGTGTGTCCTATTTATTTTACTTAAGGGTATGGCCTCAATATACATTCATTTCATTTTATAAAAAAACACCACATCATCTTTATCTAGTCACCAGTTGATGGGCATTTGGGCTGTTTTTAATCTAGTTATTACAAACTGTGCTGCTATAAACATGGGTGCA